TAACTTTTCAATTTTTTTTATTACTAATTCCCAGAATTCCTTCTGATTGATTATTGCATTGTCATATACTCTTCTGAAATTGAAAATAGCAATTGCGACGTTTTCAGATTTAATTCTGTAGAATCAGGTATTAGTTGTTTACTCCAATCAGTCAACAATATGAATCTCAACAATATGAACGGTTCTTTCTGCCAAAGCTGTTATTGTGCTGCCATCTAAAGGTTTATTTTACTCACTACAAATCTCACAATAAACCAATTGTTCCATTTTTTTTAGCATAAACTTACTTAATTTTATATCCAGTCTTTAAAGCTGGTTACATGTCTGTCCCTCTTATAACCCTTATAGAAGTGCCATTTTCCAGTGATTATGTCAAAGGACAGATGTTTGCTGGAAGAAAAAATAGTTTTATAATTTTATCTCGGATAAATTCTAATATAACTTAAGACAGAACAGTCAAATAATAAATAACAAATATGTTTAGACTATTCAACATAAAACACATAAAGATCAAAACAAATTACATTCCATATTTTCTTCCGGTTGCCAAACTTATTTTTACATTATGTGTATATAATGACAGATTATACAGCAAATGCCTAAAACAGAAGACCATGTTTTCTCTATCTGATGTGCTCCTTGAGCTGCTTCTCCTTGGCAATAAAACGGATTTGTTTAAAGCAGCTTGACATGTGCGTGTTTGCCTCTCAGCTGACCTAACTCTGTGTTTGAGTCATCTCCTCCTGCGTGCGATGATGTCTGCCAGACATCCACTAATAACAGGGTTCAGGCTGCACAGAGATCATCGGAGTCACACATGTGGTTGAGAGAGCGCGTAGTCAATGCACCTGGTCCAGCACATGAAAGAGTTTCAGAAACATAACGTGCCTCGGACCTGGTGCATCATATCAGCCAGGTACGAGTTACTGCAGTTACATTTTTCTTCTGTTTGTAAGTTCATCTGCTCTGTTTCCGGAGAGTGTTAGTCATTCTTAATGTGTAAAAAGCTTTTAAATAAACTAAAGTCCTCATCCAGCTTTTTTTTGAGACAATTATGATCATTTTTAAACTTTCTCAGTAGGGCTTAAATGAGTTTATATTTCTGCCTACTTCATTTTCAAACAAATAATTATCAGAAAATGTATAATATGGAATTTAAATTGTGAATGTGAGTCATTTTGGATGCAGGTGAGCTGGTAAGGGGGATTTGGAACAGCTGTGGAGGAAAGCAAAACAGGGAGAGGGGAGAGAAAGTGAATAATCAGCACACAGGAATCTGAACTAAACACAAAGGAACATGATGACAAAGACATTTGAACAGGATCTCTTCTAGACTAGATTAGCTGGATTTATTGGTTGAATTCATCAAAGTCAGAACACAAATAATGTTTTTATTTGGATGGGATTATCAACTTTAATCGTATATGACAATGAAACATATAATTCCACTATGTCAAGCTCTGTGAACTGCTGAAAAAATGTGACAGGCGAAGAAGATCGAGGTTTGATTTCTGTGACAGATTTTAATTTTTCTCTGGCACTTCAAAGCTGTTATAACAAACAAACAAACAAACAGACACAATCCTGTATGCACATCAAAAGGACAGAAAAGTTAAGTTTGAAAGGAAAAAATTATAAGAAAAACACAGACAGGAGTGCCAAGACTTTTAAAAAGTGACCAAATGATGCATTTAAAGGTTAATCTATCAGAGAAGGAAGAATATTATTAGTCACTTTAACATGAGGATGGCACTTTTCCCTTAAAGTGTTGAAAGTGATGCAAGATGTTACAAAAAGCCTTAATATGAAGATTCCAGTTGTGATTGTTTATAAATGTCATGTCTCAACTGACCGTTAAAATTTTAAATGTTAAGTGTCAAAAAAACAAAACAAAACAAACAAAAAAAAAAACGGTAACACTTTATTTGATGGGGGTTGAATAAGACCCCCTTCATAAACACCTGTCATGAACATGAATAAGCCTTCATGAATATTTATGACTGTTGTCATAAAGCGTCATTCGGTAAATTATGACACTTTTAATACAAAGTTGACATGATTCAAAATGCCGTTGTTATGACAACTTGACATTAACCAAGAAATCATTACTGACATAAATTTGTTATAAAAGTATTACTGATTGCACTTTAAAAATCAGGTAATTTTATGTTATTAAAGGTAAAGTTTAAACAGTAATGATTTCTTGGTTAATGTCAAGTTGTCATAACAAAGACATTTTGAATAATGTCAACTTTGTATTAAAAGTGTCATAATTTACCGAATGATGCTTTATGACAACAGTCATAAATATTCATGAAGGCTTATTCATGTTCATGACAGGTGTTATGCCATGTTTATGACAGTGTAATGACAGTCTTATTCAACCCCCTTCAAATAAAGTGTTACCAAAAAAAAACATATTTAAAGGACTTTTAATATTGTTCAAAGTGGCAGAAGAACTTTGCTTTGTGTTTTTTTTTTTTGTTTTTGTTTTGTACAGAAGATAGAAAAGTGATCAATTTTAGCACAAACACAGAAAAGTAACATAAAATACACCAACACTGCAAAAACACATTCACTTCATGATTGATTCAATACATTAAATAATTCAAGCAGCATTTGCTATTGCAAACCAAGCAAACTTAAAGGTGAATTAACACACTTTTTGAAACACATAACTGCATCACAGTTGGCAAATATTCACAAATTAGCTTAAACAACAGCTCAAATGGTCATCATTATGCAGCATGTTGATATAGAAAAATCCAGGAATTTTCAGTCATTTTCTGCCTGTGTTGTAATACTTCTATAAAGACTCTCAGATTATAAATCAGTCTCTTTATAAGTTTGATATTGTTAAAACAAATTCTCCCTCCTCCAGGGTTATTTATTGGCTTTTTGCAGCATAACCAGGATTGATATCTTTTACCTGTTGCACTTGGAGAATTTCTTATTAACAAGTTGAAATTAGAGGAAAGTTAGGTGCAGGCAACGAGTGAATTTTAACTTGAGTCTCCTCTTGCAGTTGTAAGGTTTCACATTCAATCTTTTAGCTGTTTAGCTGCTGTAGAAGGAAAAAAAAAATCCTAACCCAGACCAGTAAATAACACATTGGGCTTCAACATAAACATCTATGTTATAGTTTTGCATGGCAAAGAGATCTTGCAGTGACACAAATGTTCAGCTTTTGTGATGAGGAGTCATCCTGTGAGCACGTGTAAACTTGTGAAAGTGTTGTAATTCTCTGATCAGTCTAATCAATAGCATGATTGCCACAGAAGAGGGGAAGATAAGTGCTTGAAACCATCGTCTTACTGTGTTACCAATTGTTACCGCCACCAAACAGCATATTCCTTCATTCCTCTGCCTTAAAATATTGCTACATATATGAATAATTGAAAGAAATGTTGTCTGAAACTGTAGTGTGAGAAGTGCACCAGTAATCAAGAAGACTTCACGACATCCATGAGTGTCCAAAAGCACCAGAACCATATCCTCTTTGGAGGTTTGCTACAAAAATGTGCTGCCACCGGCGCAGATCTCATTGAACACCATCAGCAAGTGGGGGTAAGTGCATCTTCACACAGTAATACCTACTACTGCTACAAATTATTTGGGAAACTTGTAAAATCAATGAAAGCCACCACAATTACTGTATTGTGCCGATGTGGAAGCATCTTGACGATCCATTTGTGCGGGGGCTTGCCATCCAGAGAAGTGGACTTTCTTCCAAACCTCCTGAAAGTACTGTCATGAATAAAGAGTGTTATTGAAATGTCCTCCATGTCTAATCCCTCCTGCAGCCCAGGCACATTTTGGTGATCTCTGTATTGTAAAGCATGATGGAGAACAAAGCCCACAAGGTAAATGGCTCGACAGCAAAAAGCCATCGAAGTGAAATAAAATCTAAGCACTAGTTAGTCAAGAATACTTCATTAATAGTCATGACTTTGACCAAAATTAGACATCCAGCATGAGACAGAGAACTGAACAGCTACTCTGTGGACAGTCTTGAAACTTAAGAGCTTCTCAAGTTTTTAGCACATTAGAGAAACATGTAACAAAAGAAATACTGAAGTCACAAAATGCATCCTTTGTGTCACTGCAAAAAATGAAAAAAAAAAAAAAGTCTGAATGTTTTTGGTGGTTGTTCTTATCTGTTTATGACATAAACTTGCTTGTTAAAAGGTACTGAAAAAAAATCCTACAGAAGTAATAATAAACCTTTTGGTGTCCAGAATTTCCTTTTAAATGTTTTAGAAATGTTTTTTTTCCCTTTGGTTTAAGTTGAATCATATTAATAGATCTGTAATCTGAATTTGAAATATTTATGTAAGAGTATAAACCACATAAACATGTGCTTGTCTTTCAAAACTCCATACATCATTAATTATTTTAGAACTACAGTGTTTATTTGAATGACTAATTGCAACCACAGCATTATAAAACTTTAAAATGTTTGTGCCCAATATCCACCTCAATCCTATTTTTTTTTTTAAATATATAAAACTTTCATCAAAAAGAGTTATGCTGTTGAGGAAAGGTATTGTCCCTTTTATGGATTTCTTCAGTATTTTCTGTGCCACTTCAAGACCTCACTGACTCGCCATAATGGATGTAAAAAAGATGTTTTCTTTCAGAAATTATGCAGCTTTAAACTCAATCTCACTCTGGAGCGGGATTATTAAAAAAAACAAACAAAAAAAACAACAAAATTAAAGCTTTTGTGTGGCCTAGTCAACATTCAAACTTAAATCCAATTGAGATGCTCCAGTGTAGTTGAATTAAAATATGTCTTAAATGAACAACAGGTTGAAGTTTCTCTACAGCGATGTAATAGACTCAAAGCTTTATAGCGGTTGTTGCTGCCAAGGCTGAATCTAACAGTAAATAGACTAAGGTGGCAATTGCTTTTCATATTTGCTCATGTTATCTTTGTAAAATTTGGTTAAAATAACAAAAATTTGAGGAAACTGCTTAAGGGGATGAACACTTTTCCCCCATCAATGTTTACTGTTACACTTTCTTAGACATTTCCTTGAGTTTGAAGAATTTAGAGTCCAATCCAAGGGAACTAAGACAGTCAGCAGCTTTGGGCAATGTGAATTGAAAGAATAAAGAAAACTTCTAATACATCTCTGAGGCCAAAAGTACTTTAACACAACAACACAGAGCACAAACAAGAGCAATAAAATTACAATAAACACAATCAACATCTTTATCTGTCTTTAATATTTAAAGTCAAATATCATTGTGATGATTTCATTTTAAACTTAGCTTGTGTCAGCCTGTGCTGAGGCTCTAACTGCACAACTTTTGTTCTTTTTCTTTTCTTTTTTTTTACCAGTAAGACATCTGATTTAAGAAACTATTAGAAATGCATCAAGTCTCTCCGTATCTACAGTACATACACAAAATGACAAGTGCGACATTCTCAGTTCAAATTTCTAAAGTCCACGAGTGATTTCTCCTCAGTTCTGGAGCACAGCTCTTTGATCGCCGACCCTGTGAGCAGGGGACACAGTGCATTCAACAACAGCTGTTGTGTTACCTCCTCTGTCCCTTCTCTGCCTCCTGCTGAGTGACATCAGCCCAGCTGGGAATCACAAAGCTGAGACTTTGACGATGTTGGTACCAGCGGAGCTTGTTGTGGTCTGGATGCTGGGAGCCGCTGGGTGACCCAGAGGCGGCGGCGGCCTTCTCTGCGGTGGCCCGTGGAGGCCGTCAGCGTCAGGGGCCAAAGCGGGAGGCCTAGGGAGGCTGATGATGGCCGTAGTGATGCGGCCGCTTTTGCAGTTGACCCTTTTGCTCTCGTCAGTTCTCAGATTGAGGTTTGAGCGGCTTTTAGAGAAGAAAGAAAATGAGTGGCTGTTCAAGAGTTCAATTAGAAAGTTAAAGTTAAAATTTTTGTTGAACTTTAAATGACATGTGTTTGATAAATAAACAAAAAAAAAATAATAATCTAAAAACTCACATAAACTTGGTATAGATACTAGTCATATAAAATATGTGTAAAATTTTCAACTGCTTGTTGAATTTATCTCATCAAGTGGTTTTTCCATCCAAACTTAAAGTTCTTGACGTGAATTCAAAGACATTTATCTGTCTTTCATAGCCTGTCATTTTTTTATGTGTAGAACTTTTTGTGTCGTATTTATTGCTGCTTCAAGTAAAATCTCTTTTTTGTTGAGAAATAAGTTTTTAATCTCAATGAGGTTTTATACTGGTAACATAAAGGTTAAATAATCTATTTTTAAGCCTCTCATATTAGGGGAACATCCTATTTTCTATTTCCGTATTTTCAAGGTGCTGTTGTTTCCAGATGTTTTAGAATCAACATTCAGTAAGGTTGCAATATAAGCAGCTAAACAGTGTCCTCTAGTGGATTGATTTGCAATTACAACCCTTCACTTATCTTTTTGGAGTAAAGACCTAATATTCATTCTTTCACCTACCCAGATATGCATTTATGGTTAACATGAATCCTGTTTATAAAATTAATGGCACTCTAAACCTATTCTATAGAATTAAAGGCACAAAATAAATGTGAACACTGACACATAAGTTCTGTCACAACTCCGGTATAAATAAATTACAGATATTCAAATATTTAAAAATGTCCTTACTAATGTTCTCAATTTAGCATCTCTTTGAAATATGCATTACCTATGCAACTTTATAATAATGTATTATGACCAATTACTGTTGTTGCATAAGTAAACTTTCAATGGAGTGAATAAAAAATAAAAAATAACCCTCAAATTTATGAAAGTGAGGTCTTCGTGGCCAGTTACCACAAGTGACACAGTTGACTCAACATCCTCAGACCTAAAACCCTGCTGAAACTTTCAAGCTTTTTCTGCTCAATTTCACCTGCTTGTGTGTGACAGTGGGTCAGCGCTCTGTATGTGAAGAGCGCTGAGCTCCTGCAGCGGGCCCCGGTGTGATGGGAGTGGGTTCGCAAGGGGCAGGTTGGCATTGGGCAGTGGAGTATTTTTCTTTCCACTTGCGCCACAGCAGGTCACCGCAGGACTGTTGTGGCTGGCTATTGAGGGACTGTGTGATGGATAGGTCTGCAGTGCTGTTTCCAAACAGTTCTGCTCGTACACCTGCTCATCCACAAACTCATGGGCCTGAAAAAGACACAACGGTTCCAAAAAAAAAAAAAAAAAAAATGCAGTTTATTTTATTTTTCAAATGGAAACTTTTAGAATGACTCTCCTCTAAAAATATTTTTTTCGCTTACTATTTTGGCTGTTTGTCATAAAGCGTAAAAAGTGATTGCCCCCTTACAGATCTCTTCTGTCTTTGTTTGTGTCACTCACTCAGGTCACCACACCTGCAATCTTCTGCACTGGATTATGGCTGAAGAACTGGTTTAATTCAGCCACAATTTGAGCATGAACAGCTAATTTCAGTTTAGGCCAAAATGTCTCCATGAGATTTTTATCTGGACTTTGAACAGGCTACTCCACAATCATCCTGTGGCTGTTTTTTTGTTCATCCAGAATGTGACTTTCTAGTTATTGCCTCATATTCTGTCTTAAGGTTTTCTGCTAGAGACCAAAATTCATGATTCCTTCAATTATGACAATTCTATAGGTTATGAAAAATTAAGCTTACATCACAAAAATGTGGTTAATCACATTAATGATAACTAATTCATTATGTAACAAGAGTGGCATTATATTCACACTAGGCTGGTTGGGGGAAACTATTTATGTTAATAAGAACAATTGTAAATTAAGTACTGCATTTTCTATTCACATGGGCAGTTGTTGGATATCAGAATGTGCTTAATGATGGGAAGCATTAAAATGGCAAAACAGAAGACATTTCTATGGAGGAAAATATTTTTTTACATCATTGTTTAATGTTTAAAATGTGGTTTGTGAAAGTCATAAAGATAGCTTACTTTCAGTGATAACAACTAGTCTTTTAGTATGAAAGACCTATAATATATTGATACTGGCCTCTTCCAGTTTGTTTCTGTCATTTACTCTCCAGATTTAATTGAAGGAGGACTCCAGACTACTGCTCACACAATATGTAAGTTAGCGTACATCTTATGCAGCTAAAGACCTCCTGAATTAAAAAACTTTGTTGGTTTTCTATCCTTTTCCCTCAGTAACCGCTGATAACATGCATATTCCGCACATTTCTTGCTGCACAGCATAAGTTCCTACTACCTTTTCTTCTCCGACAGCCCCGCTGTGTCACATGTTCACTGTCAAACTGACATGTAAACATTTTAAAGTATTTCTCCCAACGCTTCCTTTTCTGCTTCTGACTGACTTCGACACTCAGATTCAGTGAGTGGGTTAACTGTACTGTCAAAGTGATAGACGTATCTAACGGCAGCAAAACTCCCTCAAGTCTTTTTTTAGATCTACGCTCCCAGCGTCAGTCAATGTCAACACTTCCAACAAGGTACCATTACATGAACAAAAAGTGTTCATTGCCTGTCACAGCGAGAAGAGTCTGCAGCGCAGCTGAACTGTATGCCTTTTTTTTTTTAATATTAAATATGTACTTCCAGCTTAAATAGTTAACAACCTGTTTCTGAACAAGATGTGAATAAACACTTGAGTGAGTGTTTAAAGTGAAACAGAGAGGCGTTCTCACTGTAGTTTTCTCCAGACAGTGCAGCAGGTGGTGGTGTTGGCTCTCTAACAGGGAGGTGGACTTTATCAGCTTCTGCTCATCTTCTTCTGAACCCTGAGTAACAGCACACAGACAGCTATCTTATCAAAATGAGTCAAATGACATGCCACAGTCTGGATAATGTTCCTAAGAAGAGGCTTTAATAATTGCTCAATCAAAAATATGTAGAAAGGAAAATTACGCTTTCTTTGATTCCTTTAACTTGTTAAACCTTTTGTCTTTTCATAATGAGCAATAATTGTACTGATGTAAATAATTACTTTTCTGCTTGATGGGCATTGATGCTTTAGCCATAAATATTACTTTTTTGAGGTTTTTTTTAAATACTTACCACTGTGCTTCCTGTGATCCAGTTACTTAAAAAAAACCCCATCAAAACAATTTCCACTTTTATTTTATTGAACTAAAGGCATTAATTCTAAAAAGGTGTTATTGTCAGCTTTCTCGCTAAATTATTGATGTTCCCACTGAATGTTATTACATGTTACATTCAGCTGAATAGCTACTGAAGTCTAAAAGAGAGGAAAATAACTGTTGGAATGGCTGATGGAAATTTCTCCAAACAGCACTTGTTTTTGAGTCAGCATCTCTAATAAAGCTTAGCCTCAAAGTAATCAGATTTGGCAAAAAAACGAAAAGAGAAAATAAATTAATTATCTACTTGCAGCTTTCATTGTTACTCAGGAGGATTTGGGTAGGAGGCTTTGCAGTCCAAGGACTCTTATTCACATTCCAGGAACATGAACAATACAGTGATGTGGGCTGCAGAACAAAACAATTTCTGATCAAGTGATGATTTGTGGCGCTGTCCTCCAAACACGAAGGTTTAAGGCTCGACGCTCCATCTACAATATCATCCAGGTCACAGGAAAAGGATAATATCTTTTGCTGGTAACTGTTTTTGGATTTTCACTCTGTTTACTGGTCAACTTTTTCAAAACTCTTTTCATTTTATGGAATGGAAACTATTTGTGGTGGACTGAGTGCCCCATCTGCTCAAAAGTTCCACTGTGAAAGCTGGTGAAGTAAAGGTTTATTTCATTTTTATGATCTGTTCAGTTTGGCAGTCAAGTTAGCCAAGCGGTGATCATCCTCTCTGTCAACTGTCTGTTTGAAAGTCAAATAATCCTTGTTCTTGTTGAAGAGGACTAAAAAAATAACTTCAAATAAAGTCCCAAATGATGGCTGCAGGGAAAATAATTTTCTTTCTGAAAAAGAAGAATCCAAAAAAGCAAACACAAAACTAGCTTCACAGACGAAATGTCATTCATGGTACTTTCAAAACTTGTTTACAACCTGCTGACAGCGAATAATAAAGCTTTTCATCTTCCTGTATTTGTTTGTTTGCACGTGTGTGTGTCTGTGTGTGTGTGTGTGTGTGTATACAGAGGACTATTCTGTCAAAACCAAGTTATTCTCAATCCTGTTAACTGATTTGGCTCTTTAATAACAAGGCATCTGAGCATTGAACCATCAGCTGTAGCTTGCTGCAGGAGACAAACAAACAAAAAATATCTAATTAAATTTGAGTAAATATTTTATAAAATTGGCCAGCTTTTTTATTATTTCCATCATTATGAAAATTTATGAATTTAATTTGATATACAGTAACTGGATAAGTTGCTGTTTTTTTTTTTTTCCCCATTTATGGTAAACCTCTCTTAACTAACTCCACCACAAAGTGGAAGTTATGTGCTTAGCTGCCTTGAGGGTTTTAAGATTATGTTTCAAAGTATAACATATGCCGTAAAAAAACAAAAAAGAGTAATAAAAAGCTCAAATATGGAATCATATTTGCAGATAATAGTTGGTCCAAACAGATAATAGTTGGTCCAAAGAATTGTAAATAAAGAGGACTTCAACAAAGATTTGTATTTCAAGAGTACATACATATTAAAGCTAAATTTAGGCTAATTTGCAAAGATCTATGGAGAAAAAATGTTAGTCTCTACATATACACGACTGGTAGAGATGAAAATGATGATAAGATAGCAGAAAAAGGTGGTTCAACAAACTTTTGACTCTGGTCATCAGTTGCTTGAAATAGGATAGCAGTCTTAAACTGGCCTAAATTACACACTTTAATTTTTTAAATGGGCCATACATGTTATAGTTTAGTGGTAACTTTAAGAATTAGTAAAATAAAGAGATGAATGAACAAAGGAGTTTCACCAAAAAGGAGTTTCTGCTTTCACCTCTAATTGAGACAAACAGGGAGCATGTTTGGTTAACATTAGATCAGCAAAAAGATTGCAGCTCTTAAAATATCTAATCACTACTCCTCTTTGCTGCCCTGAAACATCACAATGATCTGCCTGCTTCCAAAACAAAGAAAAAAAAAACATCCATCATGATGTCATTCGAACTCGCTCAGAAACAAACATGCTTGTAGCATTTGATCCATCAGCAGCCAGGCTCGAAATGTGAACACAAAGGCAACTGTGTCACTTCGATATGAAAAGCAAATATTATGGTATCAGCATTCAAATGGATAAAGCTGTAATGGCCTCCTAGAGAGGTCATCATCCAGCCTGACAGCATAATCGATAAATCCCCCTCTGTGAAAATGAGCTCCTGATTTGTGTAACCAATAAACGGCTGTCAAAGTATGAAATTACCCGAATGCAAACAGACCTGCAGTGAACTTCTAATCTAACTATAAGCTGTGAGAGAACCAGTCATTTTGTCATATATTCCACCCTCACTTCTACCCCAGACCCATGAAGCGCCACTGACTGACTGTCAGCGGCGACACCACTGTAATTTGATGCACCAGGACGCTGGCAGCCACATCACAGACCCACACAGAGGGACGGGCTGGTTTGCTCAGCACTCACAGATGGGATTTATATGATAATTCCAACCACTTCCAGACACCCAGGAGCTTTCACACTGGACTCGATTAGATCCAAATGGATTTTGGTAGCCATCTGCAAATCACAGAGTATGTCACTGAAAGCAGGAGTGATGCACTGGATGGGAAGGATATGGGCAATTTGCTCATGCATTACCAAACACATTTTCTTTCCATGGTGGTTGTGAGGTTTTTTTTTTTTTAAGCTAAACATAAAAGTAGAAAGAAGCAGGACTGAACATCTGCTGTACCAAAAAAAAAACAGGTTGCCTGATATGTGCAGGTGGATACCGATGTATTTAAAAGCATATGGAGGAAATAGTTTGACAGCTGAAAAAACAGACCTTGAGGGCCGGTGTCCTGCAACTTTTAGATCCTTCTACACAAAGCATTCTGCATGCTTTCTAAAGTTTACTTAACTTTAGTAGTTGATATTAATTAATTTTATTCAGGATTATCATCATAAGGAGAGTTGAATACAAATGCATGCTACAGTTCACAGATTTCATTTGTTAAAATAAAATAAAACATAGCCAAACCAGACACCCACTCTTAGCTCCAAATATTTTGCACAGCATCCTGATTGCTTTAAAATGGCTCAATTTATGTTCAAAGTATCTAAAAAGTTGTTACCTGAGCACATACAGAGCACGTTTTCTGAAAGAG